AAAGCTTCATGGAGCAACAAGGAGAAATGGAACACACAACCAACCATCTCATTAAATAAACTGAGAATGCTTTTGTTATATACATATCAATGTTAACAAAATATCTACTCAAGAAAAGCCGCTAGTGAGACTCAAGTCCATCCGACTCTGCCAGCTTGTCCCTCTGCCTCCACCCCTGCCCGCCGGCCTACTCCTGAAACGCAATAACCTTCCGGCATATGGGACACGAAGCACTCTGGGCCAATGGGTTCGTTTTCAATTCGGGTCTATTTTGCATACTCTCTATGTCATGATCAATTTGGTCTGGTTCGGTTCTATTCGGGGTCTAACATTTACAAAGTTTATTTTCACCATAAAGTTATCAAAAAACGCTAATGCTAATTGAATATGGTGTTTTTTAAACAAGGCTTATGTTTAATTTGATTCTCTATTTGTTTACGGTTCAAGTGCATCTTAGTTTGGTAAGTTATCGGTTTGGATGGAATGGGTTCGAGTATTAATCAATTTTCAGTCATGGGGTATTAGTTTCTAATCTTTAGACAATAAAATTTAGTGTCGGCATAAAAGAATGCAATGGAGATTGGACTGTAATGGCCAAATTCAACGAAGGATTATTCAAGCAATCCGTCCAACACACTACACGATAAGGGAGTCACCTTCCTAACTAGATGACAAGCCATTAAAAGATAGAGGCGATCACCCTGCACTACCCAGGAACGTGGTCTGACGTGGGTATGCGACGTCTTGTCCCCTACCTCTAGCTTCTTATTATAATACGGAGTAATTACTTGTGTAACCCTCAAATGAAGGAGGCAATTTCTTCTCACTAAGCTCTTGTGTAAAGACGCATGTGCACTTTGCTATATTCAAATAACAATTGGGCTACATGTGTATCACCTATAGTCCTCCTGGTTAATTTGCGTGTTTGTTATCTTTTACTTTCTTGAATATAGTAAACATTTCTAGACTTGGTCTAGTATTCTTTACCCGGTTTGGTAATTTACATCATCAGTACGTATTTAGTTCTTTTAATTCTACATCATTTTCAAATAAAATGTTAAAAATAAATTCAATCAAATATCGTAAATCGAAACATGAGATTTAAATTGGAGGGGAGGGAGTAAGATAAAACAAATTCAAGACTGAAAAAAAAAAGAAAAAGAAAAAATATACTCCCTCCGTCCAACAATTAAGTTCACATTTATTTACAAGGTCAAACTGTTTTCACTTTGTTGACGTATTTTCGTGTCTTATTTGTTAAAATAATATAGTCATGTTACCACTTATTTTGTAGATTTTTTCATGTAATTTTTAAATATATAATTTTTATTTTTTAATTCATACTCTTTTCATATAAAATGATTTAAATTAAAAAATAAAAATTACATATTCAAAAACTAAATAAAAAAAGATTTATAAAACTAATAGTGACATGACTATATTATTTTAGAAAATGACTAAAAATAGAGAAAAATGTGAATAATAATAATCAGACAATGTAAAAAGGAAGGGAAGGAATCTCTTTCCATCACAATACTTAATTTAAAAAAAATCTAATTTAAACTATCCCTTTAAATGCCCTCAGGTCCCTCACTCACCTTCCTCGCCCTAGCCTCTCTCACTCAGATCACTCCTATCTCTCTCTCTCTCTCTCTCTCTCTCTTCTCACCTTCAATTCATGGACGCCGAAATGCCGAACACCACGAGGCCATTTCTCCGCTACACGGTCATCGTGCTCGTCATGGTGGCCATCGTGCTCGTCGTGGTGGCAGCGGTATGCCTCCTGAGGTGCCTCTATCGCTGTTTCCGCCGCCGCGAGACGGCGGAGGAGTAGTTGGTTGGTTTTCTTCCTAGCTAGATTTGGTTCCTTCTCCATCATCTTCTTCTTTTAATGTTATGTTTGTAGATTATGTTCCTTCACCTTCTCCTCCTCCTTTTTCTTCTAATGTTATGTTTGGATGTTGTTTTTCATCATTAATGGAAATCCTTTTTAATTCATCATTATATTTGCTTTTATATGTTTTTCTTTATGTGTGGTGTGTGATTAATATTTAATTATCTATCTTGCTATATACAAAAAGGCAAAAGAAATTGGAATGAAAAAAAGAAGAAGTTAAAAAAGGTGTTTTCCTGCCCAACAATATATCAGATGCGGTATTCATTGTCGATGCACTATTGAGATTTGGGATTAATCGTCGGTTCTCTTGTTTCTTACCTTCTAACAAATTTTGGGTGGTAACAAGTAATGGTCAAATAATAATTGAAGCTTCATTCTGTTTTTTTTTTATGAGGTAATTAAGATTATTTCATAAATTTTAACCCCCCAGTAGAGTTATCGCTGAATCTGTTGCTTACGGAGGGGATGAGAGACACACGTTTTCGTACACGCGCCATGTTGCGCGTAGGATAGGAAAGTGGGAATGGAGGTGGGCGAAAGTGTGGGAACCAGAAGACTAACCCTAGCTAGAAAATTTCCGGAAATGGGAACATAGATAACCCATCCTTTGGTTAAGCTTCAAAATTAAACAAGCAAGGAGGATTTTATTTATTATTAAATCAAAGATCAAAACCCATTTGGAAACCGTTTTAAAGAATATGTTATAAAGTATATGAGTTGGTGGATCTGTTTGGTTTGTATATGGGGGGCTTACGGAGGGGGTTGGGGTGGGGGTGCAGGGGCGGTGGTAGGGTGGGGGGTTTAGGGGGTGGGTTAGGGGGGTAGGAACCGTCAATTTTGCGAACGGAGCACCGGAGGTGCCCCAAAATGCCGGTGGCACCGGAGTGGCACCGGATTCCAGTGGCACTGGAACCGGGCCGGTACAATATATACTTTATTTATGTTACTTACACTATTACTCCCTCCATTCTCAAAAATTCTTTCTCTTTCATTTTTTTACTTCCAACAAAACACTTCCACTTTCTATTAAAGAACCACTTTTACCCTTACTTTTTCATACTCTACCTATCACATCATACTTTTTCTCTAATACTCAATCCATCACATCTTACTTTTATCCATCACATTAAGGGCAAAATTGGAAGTCAACTACAATTTAACACTTCCTTATTTTTATACAAAGTCAAAATAGGAACACTTTTATAGAACGGAGGGAGTATTTTTTATTTAAAAAAATGGTAAATATAATTTTAAAGTAGGTGATGGCTTAAATTGAATTATTGAAACCACCCAAATTTTACATGCTGTCTTCGATTTTTGTCATATGTTTCATTTCAAGTACTCCCTCCGTCCCAAAAAGTTTGTTACGTTTAGAAAAAACTGCGTCCCGTAAAGTTCGTTACATTTCTATTAAAAAACCACTTTTACCCCTTACTTTTTCATACCCTACCTATCACATCATACCTTTTTTCTAATAATCTACTCATCACATCCTACTTTTACCCATCACATCAAGGGTATTTTTGGAAAGTCAATACCAAAATATCTCTTCCTTAATTTCCCAAAAAGTCAAACCGTCACATTCTTTTTGAGACGGAGGGAGTATAAAATTGTCTTTATAATTAGTTATAGCTAGGAAGTAAGTATAAGACATATGGGGGGTGGTAGTAACCAAACAGTAAAACCCTAAAAGTAAAAAAATGTGTTTATCAACTGTTCATTTAACCCTATGCGTGTGGAGTGTATTGCATCGGGTACCCAAACCAATGGTTCGGTAAAGAGGCTACCTTCAAAACAGTCCTAAACAAGTAGGGTATCATTTCAAATAATGTTTTCTTTTTCTTGTTTGCAACTGGTATTATAATTTGTTTGAATTAATTAAGCCGGATATCTAAGACACAACATCGTTCTAAGCATAAACTGTTATATATTTTAGTGTAATTGGAAAAACTACAATCAATGGTATCTTAATAATCATCAAAGAAGTTGGTGGTGCGGAGTGCACGCTTCATTGAGTTTGTTACGATAAAAATCCCGTTACATCGGGGGTTCCAAGGGGGCAGCGCCCCCTTAGCGGGGTTCCAAGGGGGCAGCGCCCCCTTAGCGGGGGTTCAAGTGGCGGCAGCCCCTGCGGGGTCCAAGGGGCAGAGCCCTTGGCTGGGGTCGAGAAAATTTTTTATTTTGGGCTCGGTGCTATGTTAAAAAACTCAATTAGAATTTTAATTTTCGAATTTTCTTTAAAAAGAAAACTTCCGATGGATAGCACCGAATTTTGAAGAAAAACTTCCGCGCGAAGAATTGCGTGCTTTGGGTAATAGCCGCAAATGGTGTCTTCTCCTTCTCACCCCAAGTCTATAAATTCCCGCTAGACATGGTCGAATTTCGTTCGGATTTTAATAGCAATTCTCATATTTTGTTCTTGATACTTTTGAGTTTTATCCGATTGAGCTTTGGAGTGAACAACTAAAATATTCAACCTGAAAGTGTTTACACAATTCTCAATTATATTCATCCAAGTTATCGTTAATTTTCCCAACATAAACAATTAGGAACACAACGTAGAATTCATTCTAGAATTCATCCTTGGACCAACTTTTCAGAAAATACAATAAACTTCAACAAAGATGAAGTAATTTCACAACAAAAAAAATGCAAACCTAAAATTTAATGTTCAGTAGAAACTGTAAAATAATTACTGGAAACTAATGCTTCAATATAAGTTTATGTTTACCGACATATCAACTTCAAAATTGTCTACATTTATGTTATCATTTCAACATTGGAGAGCTCTAGTATAATTGAACATTCCAAGCAATTTTTGGTAGATGAGCTGTCCTCAATTCTGGGTTTTCGGACAGGACATATTCAATACATTCAAATCAATTAAAGGAGTACTAAGTAATTAATACTCCCTCCGTTCCACAAAACCCTTCCCTTTTTGTTTTTCTTGAATTCTCTAAAACGCTTCCACTTTCTATTAAAAAACCACTTTTACCCTTACTTTTTCATACCCTACCTATCACATCATATTTTTTCTCTAATAACCAAACTATCACATCTTACTTTTACCCATCACATCAGGGGCAAAATTGGAAAGTCAACCAAAATTACACTTTCCTTATTTTTGCCAAAAATCAAAAGTGGAAGGGTTTAAAGGAACGGAGAGAGTATAAAAAATCCCCTAAACAAATTCACAAAGCCACCAAGCGGCCGGAGCCGNCCCCCCCCCCCGCCCGCCGGCCTACTCCTGAAGCCCAATAACACTCCGACATATGGGACACGATCCGGAAGTATTGTGAGACACCCAGTTGGCAATACAATGCACGTGGAAGGAGTGGGAGCACGGTTGGAATATCGATAGCGCTTCCCTCGACTGAAACTCCTCCATGCAGATCGCACAACTATCAGCCTCGTCTCCCGCGGCTGGATCGTAGGGGCGGCGCGGGAGACGTGAGACGAGCTCCAAAGAGTCTCTCGGCACAGTGGCGGCCGCCGCCTCGCGACGCCTCCGGCAATGGCAGAACACGAGCCAGCCGACGTAGTAAAGTAAGATGACGACGACAAACAACGCAATGAGGATAAGCTTGTCGTGAGAGGAGTTCTCCGGCGGGGTGAAGACCCTAGGACTCCTAGGAGAACCTGACATTGGTGGTGGTGGTAGCTTGATAAATGAAACATTAATAAATTTGATTAGTTATGGGTCTAATCGGTTTCGGGTCTAATTGATTTCAGGTTCAATCGATTTCGGGTTCAACCGGTTCGGGTTAAATCGGATTCGGATCTAAATCGAGTGTGAATACATTTGGTTCGGTTTGAATCATTTCGGGTATTCAGTTCTATTTTGGGTCTTCAGTTTTTGGGTCAATTCAGATTCGGTTATGGGTTATTTGGTTTGAGTTATCGGGGCCGGGTCAATTTTGTCAGGTCTAATCGTAGGTATGTTAGGCACTCTAACATTACTACTCCCTCCGTCCTATAATGATCTTCCCGGTTCGCAAAACGAAGAAAAATCCCAAGTTTTTTCAATCTATTTTATTTAAATATTGGTATAGAAATAAAAAATAAAACATACATATTTAAAACCTACACCAAAAGTTCAACAAAACAAGTGGTGACAAGAATATTTTATTTTATCATATAGGCCATGAAAAAACACAAATAAATATAAATTCCCGTGAAGTTGGAATAGTGCTCTGGGAAGATCATTATATGACGGAGGGAGTAATTAATAAGGACAAAGCTATTTGTACCCCACCCTTTTGTACCCCACTTTGTACCCCGTAGGTTTGCACCAACATTTTGTGTTGGTGTAAAACTAATTTTTGTTAACACACCAACATTTGTGTCGGTGTCAACCATCAAAATGTTTATGTATAACTGCGGTGTACAAATGAGGTACAATTTTTGGTGTAAATGGAACATGGTCCAATTAATAAAGGCAAAAAACTGAGAGGTACCGAATTGAGAAGCAGAGTGCAGTGGGGACACGGTTGAAGTTTCAGATCTTTGATCCAGAGTTTGAGGCCCAAATTCTTTGTTTTCTTACTTCTTTTTATGAAGCTCAATTTTTTCTTCATTACAAAATTTTTTTAATGCCATATATTTTACTCCTTCCGTCCCATAAAGTATTACCCATTTTGATTAAAGTTGAAATTAAGGGAGTGATAATTTTGTGTTGACTTTCCAAAAATACCCTTGATGTGATGGTTAAAAGTAGGATGTGATGTATAGATTATTAGGAAAAAGGTATGATGTGGTAGGTAGGGTTTGAAAAAATAAGGGGTAAAAGTGGTTTTTTAATGGAAATGGGTAAGGGATTGTGAGACGCAATTTTTTTGAAACGTGTAAATCTTTTTGCGACTGAGGGAGTATTACTCCCTCTGTCCACCATAGATCTTCCCAATAGCCCTTTTTCTTTGTCCACAATAGATCTTCTCATTTCATTTTTTAACAAGTAAAATACCACAACTACCCCCACTTACTTTATTTATTACACCCCACCCACCTCATTTAATACACTCCACCCATTTTTCATTAAGGGTATTATGGTAAACTTTCACCTTTTTTCAATTCTCCTTAAAAACCACCAAAAGTCAAAATGAGAACATCTTAGGCGGACGGAGGGAGTATATTTCTTCAGACAATATTTTTTGGTATTAATACCTATTACTACATTAGATTTTCAATTTATATGAATACTCGGGGTATTTGAATTTGTTTAGTTTAATTCCTTTATGAGTGCTTCCAAAATTTAGTGGAAATAAAAAATGAAATGAGAACCTCCACTCTACTGAAATCACATCCATCCCCATACTTTAGTACAGAGTAATAAACAAGCAATACAATTTTGATCTCATTCTCCATTGTTACAAGAAAACCTAAAAAAATGTACTTTGTAGTATTAATTTATTTTGAATGCAAAACATTAAAACTTCAAACTTGCAATCTTTGCGGTTATTTGCAATACTGCGGGTTTGGAATATTTTGGTGCATGTAAAGAGTTTATAATTTTTATTGGTTTTTTACAAGTATTTTTCCATAAAAAACATCTAAACAAATCTATTTTTTGTCTTATTTGTATTCTTTTTACAATTTACTTCCAATTTTAAAGTGTGATAATGAAGAATTATGGATATGTCGTTCTAATTTGAGGCTTTTGACAAGAAAAAAAAATCATTATATCTGATTAGTAATTAATTTTATCTTTAAAAAATTTGTCAAAAATAAAAATATATAAATAAAAGCAGATGATGAATTAAAAAGGATATTCAACTCCATTCATGACGAAAACATACATACAAACATCATTAACCATACAAGCTAAGAAGAAGAAGAAGAAGAAGAAGAAGAAGAAGAAGAAGAAGAAGAAGAAGAAGAAGAAGAAGAAGAAGAAGATGGAAGGAGAAGAAGAAATTAAACCAAATCTACATGGAAAATACTAATTAAAATCGACTCACTGCCGCTCATCATTTGGCAGTGCGGCGACTGAGGCAGACCCCCCGAGTGGGGTGGTCGCCCCTGCTCGGCGGCGAATGAGGCGGCGGAAAAGGCACGCGAGGATGCATAGAGCCCCCGAGAAGACGGCGAGCACGGCAATGCAAACGAGAGCAATCACCATGAATGTCGATTGCGCCTTTTCATAGCGGAGAGGCCGCGAGGTGTTTGGAGGCTGCTGCTTCGTGTCCATGGATCGGAGAGAGATCGAGATCAGAGATTATGGCCCGAGAGAGTTACGTTCGTAGTATATATATATATATATATATATATATATATATATATGAAATATTTGTATTAAATAGCACTAATAATGTCCATGGCGCCTTATTTATATATATATATATATATATATATATATATATATATATATATATATATATATATATATATATATAGCGGCTCGATCAACCTGTACACCATTTCTTTCTTGATTGCCATGGGCGGATGCCCTCCCACTAGATTAATGCCACATGGAAGATAAAACCACTCAATCCAAATACTACGTGTAAAAAGTACGTGATTATTTAATCTTACAAATTGGGATAACACCACAATTCTTTAGTTGTTTTTATTTTTTATCAATAGTTTTATTATTAAAAAATTGAATATAAGTTAACGGGAAAATATTTTATTATCATAGTAGTCATTCTTTGAATAAATTAAATAAAGTTAATTCAAGTCATTTATTTTCCATGACCTAAAAAAATAAAAATAAAGAAAATTTAGTTATAAATTCTTCTGATTCGGATCTTTTCGGTTCGGGTCTCTGTTACGGGTACTACGGGCAAGATCCATGAGGAAAACACGAGCGATGCCCAAGAGGAGCAGGTACGCATGGGCCGTCCACGAAGGATCGTCGGGCCACCCCAACGTTATTACGATTATGTTTGATATCTTTTGTTGCATGTCTTTCCATTGTTGTAACGTAGATTTTTCACAGGCGAGCTAATTATAAGCTCCTTCCAAAACTTCTTTTCGGTTCTTTACCTTGATGCTTTTATTATTGAAACGATCGACAAGATAGACAATTATTTAACTAGGGTTTGAGGAATATATACTTCCATTATAAAGCTACGGGATGTAATTAATCATATACGGCAGGCATAATAATACATCCTCCCCCCTAATCTTTTCTCTCTCTCCAAAAAAAACCCTCACCCCTCGGCTAGGTTGCTGTGCAGCAAAGCTTGTTGTGTGCGAACAGTGCGTAAAAACTGGTGCTCTCATTCATGCTATCGAGGAATTGGGCAAAGATTTGCAAGCAACAAAATCACTGGTCGCGGAATTTGCAAACTCCCTCAAGTTTTCCTTCCTCAAGTTTGCGACACGACGTTTTTTGTTAACATTCTACTTCTTACTTCCTCTATTTTTATTTGACTATCCATTTCACTCGTGTATCAAATATTTGAATAACTATAAATAAAAATATGTAATGAATTAAAATATACACGGGGTACATAGTAAAAAATATTATCGATTTATTGGTATCAAAAAAAGTTTAAATGTATTACGGAGTATTTTTAATATTTTTTGCTAATATTTTTGAAGAGACGATGTCGGTCAAACTTTAAGTTCGAAAACAATAAAATACAAAAGCACCTTAACTTAAGTTATAAAATACGGAGTAAAAGATTTGTACATGAAAAGAGTTGCACGGTTTGCACCCATAATTTAAATACTAGTATGTTTTTTATATACGTACACATCAACATATGTAAAAATATATCGGTAATTCTTTTTTTTCAAGTTTATTTGATAAATGAAATATTAATGAATTTGATTATTTTCAGGTCTAATCGCTTTTGGGTCTAATCGGTTTTGGGTTTAATCGGTTCTGGATTTAACCGATTTGGGTTCAATCGGACTCAGATCTGAATCGGGTCTGAATATATTTGGTTCGGTTCAAATCATTTTGGATGTTCGATTCTATTTTGGTTCTTCATTTTTTGGATCAATTTAGGTTCCGTTCCGGGTTATTTGATTCAGGTTATCGGGTCCAAATCAGTTTTGTCAGGTGCCCATGTCTATCAAAAATAATACTCCGTCTGCCCCACAAAACATTACCCATTTTAAATAGTATTTGGTCAAGCAGTTAGACGCTTTAACTTCAAATTATGAGAAAAATATATTGAATTATAATATAAATTTAATATAATTTTATTCATCTTAGGATCTAGTTTTGATATATCAAAATTTTATAACTTTTTTTTATTTAGATTATATTTAGTTTATGCTCAAAGAGTGTAACTGTTTGACCAAAAATACATTAAAATGGGTAATGTTTTGAGAGACGGAGAGAGTATGAAATGGTATATAAATACAATGTCATATTATTGCAATTTATTAACCCTATTTTGGTGATAAAATTAAAATATGTCACTCTTATCTTTAAACACAAAGGTTGTGTTTTGCTTCTAGTTTGAATTATTTTTTCAAATTGTGTGGCACCAACCAAAGTTGGGTTTAAAGTGTACTTGTGAATATTTTTTGTCTTATGTTAACGGAATGTGTAGCTTGGAAAAGGAAAAAAACAAAGATAAAGTCGAAAAAGGAATAAAAGAAAATCTTTAGCCCAAGGGAAAAAAAAGTGAGAAAGCAAAAACAAGGAAGAAAGAAAAAGGTAAAGAAATAATTCTGAGTGAGTAATAAATATCAAACGATACATTGCATCCTATCACATAAAAGCAAAATGAAAAAATAAAAAAAATAGAAAATGAATACATTATATATACAAATTTTTTATTAACAAAATTAGTTTTATTAACAAAATGAATACATTATATATACAATTTTTTTTGAATTTTGTAATTTTTACTTTTTATCTCTCTATCAAATTCTTTTTTTATCTCTCTGTCAAATTATAAATAAAATAATTTTGAAAAAGATATTTTTACACCAGGCCACTAGCTTAGCTGTAGAGCTATAGGACCATTTGAGCATTTACTTTGTGGGTGGGAGAGCTTCTATAGATGGGAAAAAATGATGACAAGTGGAAAAAGCTGAACTTAGTTGATAGGCATTTTTCTTTTGGGTATTTGTGGCTGGGGGAGCTTCTATAAATGCCAAAAGCAAACAAAATCTAAACTAAGTGTTGCTTGGCCCTTTTTTGGGGTAGGAGTTTTTGAATGCACGTGAGTGAGCATGTGACTCATAATAATAATAATAATGGTCCTCCACAACTATGTTATATACTACCTCCCTTTTAATGTATTTTTTTTAATCAAATTGGATAAATTTTAAACTCTAATTTTACAAAATTTTTATTGCATATTAGTATAATAAAATACGAGTACAATTTTAAGAATTTCTGATACAATAAATTTAACAAAGTCATTATTATGAAAAAAACATCATTTAAATCCAAAATAATTACTTGTATATTGCTCAAATTTGAAGGAGTAAGTGAACATCTTCATAAACAATACATGAAGGTGATAAAAGTAAGTGGGCACGGGCATGCATTGGTAGACTAAATTCATGTACACAATGAGTCTAAATTTAGTAAAGTGTCTATTCTTCCATTTCAACCAAACCAATATTTACAGAGTGGCTGGCATATGCAGACCACACACCCTATCCTTCCTAATGCTACAAAATGAAGTCACTTAGCCAAAAAGACACATTGTAATTAATTACCTTGAATTGTAGTCCCAGGCAAATGGAATTATATATCCATCCAAGCCAAAAAAGAATTATCATATTTCACTAGCCTATCAAGCCACCTGACTTCAAAAACACACTAGGATAAATCAAATATAAGTAGTATTTTGATCTAGTAGGTTAATTTTTTTCTGGTATGGGGCTTAGATGCAATAATTAGTTTTAAAGCTAATACCAATGCTTAAGAACTTGTCATTATTTGATACTCCGTATATAGATTTGAGAAATCCTTGGCGGGCTAGGATCATACACCAGTCATCTGCTAGCATATACATTCAAATTCTCTTAATCCCAACAAAAACTTCAAGGATAAAAAAGCTAATGAAATCACATAAAATAACATGTATAATTAAAAATAATAACATTGACAAACAGATTTAGTTACGACTTGAAGAGGGTTGATTACGTGCTTCAATGGATGTCCAAAAGGCAAGGCATTGATGCCTGATTTCAGTCCAAGACGTCCCAAATTAAGCTACCTGTTTAATTACATTCATCAAGTCAAACTTTATTCATTTTTTTTACCACTTTTTGTCATTCATTTGATTTAAAAAATGTAGTCATGTGACTGGTTGTTTTGAAGGGTTCTTTATGTAATTTTAAATATGTGAATTTTATTTTTTAATTTCACCTCAATTCTAATATAAATTTGTATTGAAAATAACTTCATTCAAACATCATAAACCAAAACATACACTTTAAAATGGAAAAGAGGGAGTACTTGTTTCCATGAAACTTAAAATAGGCATATCATCTAAAATACGTCCTTTCAGCTAAAATAGCAAGAATACAACTTCATCATAGTTTTCTTTTAGATTGTCATACTAGTAATAATACATAAAGACAGATTTTTTATTCTAAATCAGTGTATAATGTATGAATAAGCATGTATGTTTGATAATAATAAGTTTCTTGATAGGAAGAAAGCAAGAAACCAACAGAGATAGAATTAATGCATTAGACAGTTTGAAGCTTGCGTTTCTCATCATCATCCAAGAGTAAAACCACCCACTATGTATTTATATCTGCTGCTATCTAACTAGAAAACCAAAATACAAGGAGAAGTAGTTAGTATTTAGTAAATACAGCTGGAATAGAGTTTGTTAGAGAGGACAGCAGGCATTGAAATCTGTTCCTTTACACTCCCCTGCAAGCTGGGTGAAGGAGACACCATGCCCAGCTTGGACAGTAAAAGTTGGAATTGATCAGCAGGTAATATCTTAGTGATAACATCAGCAAGCTGATGAGCAGTAGGAAGATAAGAGAGCTGAATCAAGCCTTCAAGAACCTTTTCCCGTGCATGGTTATCAATGCGACAAGTCGAGTCGAGTTGGTGGAGAAGAGAAGTCGTAGACTAGTCGACAAATTACACTAAGTAATGAAATATTTAAAATTGTATATTTCTTCATTCACCAAGGATAACTATAAGGGAATATATATTTATACAATGAAGTATCATTAGTGTGCTGAGGAAGAGGGGTTTTGACAATCAATGTCAATGGTTCCTCCATATTTTATTCCCGTGTTAAATACACACACACACACACACACACACACATACTTAACAACACTAATGAGAGGAGGAACCATGATGGAATTTAGTGTGCTGAGGAAGAGGGGTTTTGACAGATCTGTTATGTAAACAGTGATGTTCAGCAAGAAGTTCCTGTGCAAACTTTCGTTGAAAAAGAATAATCCCTTCAGTAGTATAAGTGAGCTCAAACCCAAGGAAGTAGTGGCCAATACCCAGATCTTTGATAGTAAAACGAGCATCAAGAAAGTGTTTGATAGAAGCAACAGCCTCAGGATCTGAACCAGTTACAAGGAAAAGCAGCAAGAGTAATGTGATCAGGTGTGGATTTGATGAATAAACTGGGATCAGATTTAGACTGAGTGTAGCCTTGGCTGTAAAAACCACTGCCTGCTGGCCTGACGAAGTCCATAAAGAGATTTTTTTTAAACGACACACTTTGGTGGAGGGAGTGGGAAATCCCAAAGGAATCTTCATATACACCTCATCCTTCAAGTCACCATGCAAAAAAGTATTATTGATATCAAGTTGAGAAAGCTCCCAGTGTTTAGAAGCAGCTAGTGCTATAATGCATCTAATGGTGCACATTTTAACATTTAACCACATGGGAGAAAGGTTCAGTAAAATCAATCTCATATCTTTGATAGCAACAATCCAGTGAGGATCATGGGAAGCCTCAGAATAGGAAGTGGGTTCAGAATAAGAACAAAGTTGAGTGAGAAAGGCTTGATGAGCCTGAGAAAGGCTATTGAGATGAACAAAGTTGCACCAATGAGAAGTTAAGGTTGTGGAATGAGAAGGTAAAGTGGAACAACTGTATTGATCAAGATAAGAAGGAGGTTTCCTGCATGGTTGTTAAGTCGTCGCCTAGGCGCCGACTAGTCGTCCAGGCGGTTTGGGGAAAGGGAAAAACTGGGTGCCTAGCGACTAGGGTGGCCTAATTGTCCAGCCGAGAAAGGCGAGGCCTAGTCGTTGTTTGGTAGCGAATAGTCGGAGAAGAAGAGCCCAACCCGACCCATGACTGATCCGAATTTCATTAAATACGCTGTATTAAATATTACCGGATAAATTCAGTAATCCAATAACGATTCTCTCGCACGGCCGACATCTATCCTTCCTCGTCGATTGAAGATTTGAAGCAGATTTGGATTCAATTTTTTATCTTCCTCTTCATCGCATCTTGATAGGACGGAGAAGAAGAGACCAACCCGGTATTCCGCTTCATCGCACGATTCACGTCCGCTGAGTAGCATCTCTCCCTTGGTAAATTTTATATTTATAATTCGTTATCACTTAATTTCCAAATTTAGGTTAATTTTCTTTAATTTGGTTCACTAAACTATTAAACAAGTATATTATATTCTATATTTTTAAAATTTATTCTGTTCTGTTTTTTTCTGATTTCAATTTACACTTTTTTTGTTAATTTTATTCAGTTTTTTATTTTTTGATGATTTCAATCAGCAATTGTGATATATCGTTGGATGATGATATTTGATAACTCAAAATGAGAAGTTAGATATCAATATGTTCTTTGACTACTTTTTGTGCTTATTATCCTTGTTGGATATTTGTTTCTTAAGTACTCTTTGGTATGTGACTTTATGTGCTATTTGAAAACATAATTTTGCTTTGGTAATAATATTTTGTCATATAAGTATATATAGTTATTTGTAGTGAATGAAGATATATATAATGTAAAAAGTTTCAATACTAATTATGATTTGTCGACTAGTCCACTAGTCTCCTCGTGACCGACACGACTCGACTTGTTGACTTAACAACCATGGTTTCCTGAATCTGGTAGAAACCCTTGGTGGGGGGAGGGGGGGCTGAAGTTTGTGAAGCTGGAGTTTGGGAAGAAGATGTAGGAGACTGTGGAGATGGGAGGAGGAGAAGGATTGGCTAAGGTTGAATTAGAAGAAGAGGAAGGGTCAGGAGGTGATGAAGTACCACTACTCCACTAGTGTCAAGGCTTGATGGAATAGGATCAGATGTGGGATGAAAGAAGATATTAGATGAACAGATGGCAGATTAAGAAGAATGGTGGAAGATGATGAAGTGGAGGAGAGATGATGGAAAGGATAATAATGTTCATGGAATTTGACATGTCTGCTGTAGAAAACCGGCCTAGTATGTAGAGTAAAAAGTTTATATGCCTTTTTATGAAAGGGATAACCAAGAAACACACAAGGTGCAGCTCTAGGTGTAGATTTATATCTGTGGCAGGCCAAAGTGGTAGCAAAACATAAACACCCAAAGGATTTGAGGTGTTCATAGGTTGGTGGAGTGTGAAAAACTATTTCATATGGAGTTTTGTGATTCAGAACAGAAAGGGGAAATCTCTTTATCAAATAACATGTTGTGAGGACACATTCCCCCCAATATTTAGTGGGAAGCTTAGCTTGAAAAAAATAAAGCCCGAGCAGTTCAAGAAGGTGTTTATGTTTCCTTTCAAAAACTCCGTTTGGTTGAGGAGTGTCAACACAGGTGGTTTGATGTATGATCCCATTGGATTGATAAAAAGATTGGGCTGAAGTATCATCAAATTCTTTGCCATTATCTGAACGGATGACTTTAAATCTTACATTAAACTGTTTTTCAATGTAAGTGATATAACTAACTGGTTAAAGCTGGAAAATCATTGGATTTGTGTGAAAGCAACTGAATGTAAGTGATTCTGGAAAAATCGTCCACAATGGTTACAAAGAATTTATGACCAAAATATGTTGCTGTCCTATTGGTCCCCAAATATCAACATGCAACATTTCAAAAACACAGGTAGTTTTTATTAAACTAGATATGAAAGGTAGTTTATGCATATGTGCTTGATGACAAACATGACATACAGATGAAGAAGAAGATTCAATACAAGACACATGACCAATGTGCTTCACTCTATTGTATTTGTATGGTAACGTAAGTGACCCAATCTACAATGCCACAACTCACTTTCAGACAAACAAGAATTAGAAGAATGAAAAGAAACATGTGAAGTTGATGGTGCGAGCTGCTGCACAAAGTACAAGCCACCATGTTGTTTACCAACCAACAAAGTATTCTTCTTCACATGATCCTGAATAAAACAATGGGAAGGATGGAGAGTCAATGAACAAGGCAGTTGTGAAACCAATTTTTGGACAGAAAGAAGATTAAAGTGGAAGTCTAGAACATGAAGTACATCAGAAAGTTCAATTCCATTTTGCAACTTCACATTCCCAACATGAAGCACATTAACTTTTTGAACATTTGGTATAGTGATAGAACAAGGCCTGGAGATGGGTTTGAAGGAAGAGAAAGTGCTCAAATGTGGACTTATGTGATCTGAGGCTCCACTATCAATGATCCATTGTGTATTGTTGTATAAGAGAAGAGACAGTGAGTAATACCTGCTAAGTGAGTACTTGAGGCCATGTTGGCTGAAAGAAAGCCAGGAGCTCTGCCATCATCTCTATCATGAGAGTTTCCTTTACTCAACAGAGCAATGAGTTGATTGTATTGGCTGCTGGTAAGTGTCATATGCAATTCAGCAGAATGAGAGGTCTGATTTGTGTAGGCAGTGGCTCCACTCACATCTTTGTCTACTTCAGATATTACATTCCCAGCAATCTTCTTTCCTGGAGCACTAGATTCTGGATAGCCATGTATCTTGAAGCACCTTTCAACAGAATGGCCATACACCTTACAATGTTGACAAAAAAAATTGGACTTTTTTTCCGCTAGGAGTAACGCCAAACACTGGTCTGTTGGAACTATTAGGAATGTGATGCAATGAAGCCAAGGCACTGAATTCACTTATCAGAGGACCAGAACTGCTACAATCTCTTTGAGTTTCTTCCTGACTTATCAGTTTATAAGCTTGACTCAAGGTAGGAAGAGACCTCATCATGATTATATTACCTCTAACACTTTTGAAAGTTGTGATTAGGTCCCATTAAGAATTGCATCAATTGTTGACTCTGAAAGAGTTTGATGTAGCTTCCTGCTCCTTCACATCTGCAATGAGGTAAGGTCACCATTTTCAGGTAAGTGTCCAAAAGGTCTTTTAATTTGGTAAAATACTCTGCCACAGAATCAGATCCTTGGACTAAAGTCACAATTTCCTTGTGCAATTGAATGAACTTTGGTCCATCAGTCTGTCCAAAACGATAGTCAAGGTCCTCCCAAATTTCTTTGGCAGATTCACAATACAGTACGCTATTCCCAATTGCAGGTTCAACAGAATGTAAAATCCAAAAAACAGCACTTCCTGCTGCTAGCTTACTGGTACATATACCCGAGTCAATACCCGAACCACCACCCGTCTTGTTTGGTTCGTTCTTGACTCAAACCGCCCATATCTTTACTCGACCCAAAAAATTAATATTGAAGATTGGAAAAAAAACAAACGCATCAGTTGCAATGGAAGGCTGCTTTGATATCCGAAACCATACGGGAGATGAGCGTGTTCACAGTCTGGACCGCCTCCATCGTGAGCTTTGCACCAGGCGAGCTACTCACCAGCATTTGGACCCCAATGGTCAGTAGTGATCCAGTCCCACCATTGTTGCCTCCTCTGTCCAAAAGGGTTACTTTGGATTGGTTGGGCCAGCCCGAATGGTCAAAACAGTAAGACACAATGGAGAATCCAGATGGCAAGAGAGCAACTGAGGAAGAAGCCCACTGTGCGACCACTGTGCGAAGGTAAGAGATGAAGGATCGAGCTTCCATCCACAAAACCTAATTTGTTTCGTGCTCTCAAAGCAATTTCAGCAGATCGTTTCCACTGTGAAAAGTTTTCACCATTTAATTCCTGTATTGCCAGGGAGAAATTTGGTGAATCAGTAGGGTGCAGGTACAATTCACTCTGTATGTCGATAGGCGCTCACGTAAAAGCATTTTCTTCTGCCATGGATGACATGAACAATCGGAGAAGAAAGGAATCAAAATATGTCGATCAGAGAATCGGAAATCAGAGAATCGGAGAAGAAAGGAATCAAAACATGTCAATCAGAGAATCGGAAATCTAATCGCCATTAAAGTGAGGCTCTGATAAATTTCTTGATCGGGAAGAAAGCAAGAAACCAACAGAGAAAGAATTAATGCATTGGACAGTTCGAAGCTTGTGTTTCTCATCCTCATCCAAGAGTAAAACCACCTACTATATATACACATCTACTGCTATCTAACTAGAGATCCAAAATACAAGGAGTAGTTAGGAAATACAGCTGGCATTGCAATCTGTTCCTTTACAGATATAATATATACCTTTCAAAGTTTATCATCTATTTAGTTGATCAAATTCAGTGAGGCAGTAAATATGTGTTGTTGGAATGCATATTTAATGTAATCAATCGGGCCAAATCTTTGAAAGTTAAAACTGTAGCAGCTTATGGTGTATGTGTAGGTAGGTGTGTTGAAAGCATAGTGGCAAAACTTCAGGGAGGAAAAGCCACCGCGCCTAGGTGGAGACCACTATTGCAATAATATGGATGTTAAAACATACATTTATGATTAAAAATTTGTAGCCTGTGCTCATTGGTTTCCTAATGATTTCTTCATCAAAGATGGTTACTTAAAACTACACTAGTCAAGGACTACTGGTGAAGAATACCTAAGAAGAGCAAGCTAAATTTTTTATGTGTGCTCAGTGGTTCCGTGTGGATACTACCTATTCTATCTTTGATGCTGCTATAGAGGACTTGGAACAAATATCTATTCTGCTGCTGTCCATTCTCTCAAACCATCCTTAGAAGTCTCTCAATGGTCTGGTGCAAACTTGGAGGCTATTACTCCATCGGATATGCAGGTTACACTCATCAAATTGAAACCTATTAAATGGAGGACAACTACCAAAGCTGATTATGCGGCTTTCTGCTGTCATTTGGACGTACTCACGTACCGGAATGCTAAGATTCATGGTGGAACCTCTGTGACTGTGAAGGACTCAATTCATTGGATCAAATTTCAAGAAACAGTTCATTGGATATGCAGGTTATGCTCATCAAATTGAAACCAATTAAATGGAGGACAACTATCAAAGCTGATTATGCGAGATTTTGCTGTCATTTGGACGTACTCATGTATCGGAATGCTAAGATTCATGGAGGAACCTCTGCAACTGTGAAGGAGTCAATTAATTGGATTAAATTTCAAGATACAATTTATATTAAGAAGTCTACCGTTTTTAATCAGTTTACTGCCTGTTTTGGTTGTTTACTTCGTATGAACTCTTTTTGTTTACTCATAACTCATATTAAATCAACTGGTTTCCA